TATAAAGGAACCAAATTCTTTATTTTAAAATTAAAGTACATAAAGTTTTAAAGGGTTGGTCGACTGCGACTGCAGTGAAGAGTAGACGAAACGCTGCAGTACTGCCAACCACGCACCTCTAATACCACACAAATCAGTCCAGGTAACTTCAAAATTCCACTTAATTTCACTTAGTTATTTCTCCTAAAGGAGGAAAATTTTTATTTTGAACTATCAAGTTATTGTGGGTTTCATAGAAATATATTTTATTTTATATAAAATATTTTATTATTGAAAAATTAACTGTTAAATGAACATATTCATTGTTTTCAATTTTTGAATTATATTTAAATCCAGGGGTCCCATGACGTTGGGGGCCTGCGGCAATGTGCCCCTTTTGCCCCCCCCCTATCGGCGGCCCTGTCATGGTGTATTTTTGGCTGAGCCTGGCTCCTTTGCCACAGAAATATCAAAAAAATCTTGCAAATATTATTAATATTATGTTATAAAAATAATAGACATAAAATTGTTAGCAAAACACAAATGTGAAAGCTTTGTAGTCATGTTTATTTACTGAAATTCATTCATGGCTTTGGCCAGTGGTGTTACAAAAAGAGGGAATTTTGACAACTCCCAAATGCGCCGTGTGGAGGTCATGTCTTAAGGACACTACTCTGTGGTCGAGAACAGGACAGTTCGAGGATAGTTTGTAGTTCATCTCTGGTGATCGGAGCCCTTCACGAGCTAAGCATTTGCACGTTTCAAGGAGTAGCAAGATTTTCCCCAATTGTGGATCAGTTTTGCTTTCCTGGGCTATTTTTTCAGCTCAAATTAAAAGTTGAGTGATCTATTTGGTTGCACACAAAGGAGTAGAATGAATTCATTTAATTCTTGATTTATTTTACCATTTTTCGAAATATAGTGAAATTCGAGAATTTCAGTTTCTATGCCTACGCGCAAGCAGAAGTTTGCGTTGCTGTTTTCTTTCGTTCCTTTGATGATGACGTCGTAATCGTAACTCGGCGGATTTTGCCATGCGGCTAATGCAAGGAAAAGAGATTTGGTTGGTTGCAGAATTTGACCGAGTGGTTTGTGATCGGTGATTAAGATTTAGTGTCGACCATATATGGCATGGCAAAAAATTTTCATTTCGTTATACGATCGTATACGATCGTATAACGAAATGAAAAACTTTTGCACTGCATTTGTGGGTAGCGTTGCTCTGTTGCGCTGAGTGTTCGACTCGCATATGCGATAGGCCGTTCCTGACCATTTCCCAGTCAGTGAGATAGAACAGCACCAAGGCCCGTTTTACTCGAGTCAGTGGCGAGGATCAATGACAACGCAGGATCGAAGAGCATCAGCACTTGCGGGGAGATGATCATTTTTATGTCTTAGTAAGAAGCGTCAATTTCGGAATAGTATGCGTCTCTCAGTGCCAAAGGAATTTACCCCTTTGCAAAGATCGGTGCAGCATCAGTTTTATAGTGCACAGAGATGGCTGGTTCCTGTAGTTTTTTGGAACCGAGCTGAAAACAATCAAGTATTGTTCGGATTTGAAATGTAGCTTACAGCGTATTTCTTTTTTACTGGATCAATTCACCAGTTTAATTCAGCTTAAAATAATCCTCCACATAAATCCTCCCGATAAAGATTGGCGGTGGTGTTTGGAATACCGCTGTTCCTTTGTTCCGTGTTTGTCCAGAGGGTTGCTGTGGTTGAGTGGAGATTATCGCGGCGTTAAGCATCACTTCTGACACCAGTCTTGGATATGGAATTTCGAAGCACAATTAATATAATTCTTTACTTTTAATTAAGAATGACATATCAATAATCTTAAAAAACTTAGGTTGATGGTGTTGGCAGGTGTACTAACTTTAACAATACAAACGTAATAATTTACATTTGATTTCTTATTAGGTTTTTATTCGTTTCTTTGTGTTAAATTTGTTTTTAATTTTTTGTAAGGCCTATAATTTTTTTTGTGTCTTATAAAAATAAAATATACATATATGTATGTATATATATAATATATAATATATATACACTCATCAACTTAATTTAGAACTGTATATTTTAGAAAGAACAAAAAACATTGTCAATTAATGACCTTGAGATACTTTCGGTTAAAGTAAAATTATTATTTAGTCAGTAGTGTCGTTTGAATATTTTGCAGGTATACAGAGGTCGTATAGTCACCCTTATTGAAATGGGACATTCTCAGAGACAAGTTGCTGAAATTGTCGGTGTGAACCAAAGTGATGTATCGAGAACCTACCAAAGGTATTTAGAACTCGAAAATTTGAGAAGCTCGCCATCGCATAACAACCCCTAATCAGGACCGATTTATTGTTCAATTAGCCCGTAGAAACCCTACCATTACAGCCGAAGCCATCAGGCAGTAATTTTAGGGCCCGCACCAAATTGAAGTAACGGGCCAAACCATTAGAAGGCCAATTTAAAAAGCCGGAGACCTTTAAGAGTTTTAAAACTAACAAATAATCACAAGGTTACCTGTTTAAATTGGTGCCGTGAACACCAAAACTGGGGATTGGATCAATGGAAGAATGTCATGTTTTCGGATGAAACTAGAATTGGTTTAGTGTCGGACGATCGGCATGTACATGTTTGGCGAGTTCCAGGAAGTGAATCTAGGGCCGCTAATTACCGAGAAGTTGTCCCATTTGAAGGTGGAATTGCAATGTTTTGGGGAGGCATAGTGTGGAATGATCGGACGCCTCTTACTCTGATTCCTGGCAACATGACTGGTCAAGTATACATCAATTCCGTATTAAACCCTGTTGTTCGTTTGTGGAGGGGTGCTGTAGGAGAACATTTTTTGTTTATGGATGACAATGCGACTTCCCATCGCGCACAACGGGTGGTGGACCGAAAATATTATTAGTTTACAATCGCCTCCAAAGTCTACAGATCTTAATCCGATCGAACATGGATGGGATATGTTAAAAATCAGGGTTATGCAGCCCTTCCAGACCTTATTAATGCTGCCATAGTGATTTGGAAGAATATTCCTTAGCAGCTCATACATAATCTTATTGAAAGTGTTCCTCGAAGAATAGAAGCTTGCATAAGAGCAAGAGGGGGGCCGACGAAATATTGATTTTATTTTTATTTTTTTCCCAATAAAAACTATATGTAGACTAAGTTTGAATTTGGTGATTATTTGAATTTTTAATACAAGAATAAAAACTTTTACTTTATTTAATTTAATATTATTAAGAAGTAAGCTGGCAAAGTTTATTTTTCTTTAACATATTTATTTAAAAAAAATTTGGGTGATGCAATATAAATGTTGATAAGTGTATAATATACACTGTATATATATATTTGATCGTATGGATTTTTTATTTATATAATTACGCCTAAAATAAATAAATAAAAATATTAATTATATTACTTTTACATTTTGAGCAACAAATGTCTCCCCGCCACAGTGGTCCTCGCCAAAAAATAGGTTCAGATATTAGTAGGCATGTATATCAAGGTTACAAAAACGCTGCAAGTCAAATCATAGCTGATCATAAAATTTGTTTTTGTGATACTTTTATTTATGTTTACATTTGACCATTGTTTTAAATTAATTTCAATAATTGGCACATAATTGGAGGTCACAAAAGTTTACATATAGGTTTATTGATAAGTTGGCACTGAAATATATGATTAACTTGTCAGTTGTCAGCCTAGGTTTGGTCTAGGGTTGTCAGTTACTGTTTGCCTTAAAACACAAATCTAATAATTTTTGTCGGTTTTATTGTTACTTTTATGATAGAATGAACCCTATTGAAATTGTAAGCAACCATGAGCATAACAGCATGTGGGCAGAAAATTATTATGGGTAATACAAAATCGTGGAAATTTTTAATTACAGAATCCTAAGAGTTCCCAATTTCAATTTCCATCTGCAATACTTGTCGCCATGGAATCCCAAAATTTAAAAGCCAATTATGTAAAATTGTCTCCTGAATCCGAAAATACCGTCAAAAATTATGAAAGTTTAGCAGGTTTTGAGATATAGTCAATTCCATATTAAATGGAAAATTGACTATATCTCAAAAACTGTTCTACTTTTTTAACTTTTGAAGACATTTTCGGATTCAGGAGACAATTTTACATAAGAATTGGTTGTTAAATTTTGGGATTCCATGGTTAACCATGGTTCAAGTGAAAAAGCCACTAATAACTAAATTAGTCATTTTTGACTAATTCATTTTTAGAGAGCTGGGCTTTCAAAGTCTCTTAAATTGCACGTCATTTTGGAACATATTACTCAATCTTTGCAGTTTCTTCAAGAAGGTGAACTTGGTCAGAGCAAGCAGGAGAATCTATTCATAGAGAGTTTGTCAAGTACTGGAACCGATATAAAATAAATCTCTTACAAGATCCTTGCTATCAAATCCAGTTAAAAAAAGCTGTTGTTGAGTTCGCCTCTAGACATTTGTAACAAATATTGAGTATATGTGAATTTGTTTTGGTCAATAACCTTTTTTCACTGTAAAAATGCGAAATTGTTACATCCATAAAATAAGTTAATGATCAGCTACGATTTTACTTGATTGATTACTTGAATTTTTGCAATGCTTATAGATATACCTATCAAAATCCGAACTCATTTTTTGGCGCCATTTTCATACAACCCATGGCTAGTCGAGGACCACTGTGCCGCGAGTACTTAAGTGAAAATGTAAAGTTGGCGTTACTACTATTAAGTGAATTGGTTGGAAATGTTACATTTGCAAAAATCTTGAATGCGCCGGGAGTACCAAATCAATTTAGCAAAAAAAGTAACCATTTTTTAATTTTTTAAAACCTACATTTTTATAAAAAAATATTTATATGTAGATGACACTTAAAGAAGGGTTTATAACAATTTAAATAGGTAAAAAATTTCATACATAGTAAATCATTCAAAAAATTAAAACGAAATGTACATGGTATAAAATGAAAACGGCCTAATATAGCATAACTTTAATCAATACCATTTCAATGCATAAATGTTCTAGGTTATCTGTTATTCAGCATCGAGACCCAATCGAGCATAGGTTACGGGAATCGTTACATAAACCATTATTGTCCGGAAGCCATATTTCTGATGTGCGTCCAGATCGGCACCGGGATCTGTATATGTGGAAGCTTAATATGCATTGTCTATGCCAAGATGATCGGGCCCAATCGACTGCACTCAACGAACTGTTTTACCAAACACGCTGTAGTAAGTATTAGTGTTGACATTTTGTATTTATGGCGATTTTATTAATATAATATTATGTAATTATTTAATGCATTAAATGAGTTGTCTGAAATCTATACTGACCAACCTAATTTTAGATTAATGGCCTTTTGGATGCATTTCGATAGAATCTGAGGAAAGGGCAAAATATAATTAAATTTTATAGTTTAAAAGGTTTTATTAATAAATTTTCAGTATTCTCAGATATTACATTCTTACTTATAAAATTTAATACAACTTTCAGATAAACCAACGGGATGGCAATCTGTGCCTGATATTCCGAATTCGCGATTCTGGCGGACGATATGGCTGCTTGACCAAAGTCTCTGCTTACTTAGTGCAGAAAAAACGTGAGAGTTTGGCAGACGACGTGGCCCTTAAATCCATAAAGCTCGAAGCGTTCGGAATACTGATATGGCCCGTCGAAGTGGTACACGTTATCGACGAGACCAGTCCGTTCTGGGACCTTTCTGCAAAGGATCTCATCGTGAAAAGGTGACAACATTTCTTTTATTGTTTTTAAGAAATAAATGTGGGTGGATCAATAAGTAACCGTGTTAAAGCCAGGTATTATATCTGTATAATACGTAAGTGGATCAATAAGTACCTGTGTTTGAAGACAGGTGGCATTGCTTAAGAAATTGGCATCACTATTTTGTAATACCATCTTTCAAACTATGCCATACCAAATTTTAGATTGATTAATTGTTTAGTTTAGACCTAAGAGCCATTTGTATTTGTGGGACCGTCTTTGCTTTTATGGCAGATTCGCCAGGAAAATCCATTGTTTAGATTGTCACTGGGTCTTTGATTTATGGTACATGCATATTTTCCTCAACAACCCAATCTGTCTTTAAACACGAGAAGTCATTGATTCACCCTCTTATACAGTGCTTGCAAATCCAAGTCCGACCGCGTTGTTGTTCAATACCCGCGTGAAAAGAATAAGGATAGAATGCCAAACAGAATTTGATTGGTCAGAGCGTCAGGCGTGCGTATTGTAAGCGCCTTCTGTTTGGCGTTCTATCCTTGTTATTTTCACGCGTCCTTCCCAAACCGGTCGGACTTGGATTTGCAAGCACTGTATAGGTTTTATAATGCATCTCTAAAAATGTTTAGGTCAATAATGACAATAGGTATTTTTTTATAGATTCGAGATTATAGTTGAGATGGAAGGAACTTGTGCTACCACATCATTGCCATCTAAAACCATTACTTCCTACCTCAGTAGAGAGATTATGTGGGGGCACAGATATCAACCTTGTGTCTTCTATGATAAAAACAAAAAGTCCTTTATAGTAAACCGAAATTTCTTTAATAAAACTGAAGAAGTGTTAACCCCACTTTGCAGTGCAAAGAGATTGCAAGAGGTTTATATGGACTTATCTTCATCAGAAAACAATCCCTTTACCAGTACAGAGAACACAAATTTATTCAGCAGCCCTTCAACCACCTTATCTCCCGTCACAGTTTATGATGATGATATAAAGAAGGCATACGAAACATCATATTCATCTTCATCAGATGATGAAGATGATGGTTTCACTTGTGAAGGTTTGTGTATGAAAGAACTCTCAACTGACAATCTATACAAAAGTTTGGACAATTTTGTTGTGGAAAATGCCAAAACCAAAAAGACTATCATAGATGAACATCATTGTAAATATAATGAAACTGCCTTTTAGTGGAAAGTATTTTATTCTTCCTCCATTCTTTTGGCGCTACACAAAGGCGTATCAAAAGGTATAACACTCTTTAAATCTTTATAATTAACTTTGTACATGTTTTTGCTTTCGTTAAATTCCACACAAGATTTAAATGTGTACCCCCAAAGTATGTCATCACTGATATATGAAGTTCTTGTTTGATTTACTTGTCCTGTGATTACTGAACTACCTTCTGCAACTGCCACTATTTCATACCTAAAATTATTTAGTTTTTACATTTTAAATTACAAATAGAATACCTACTTTACTTTTTTGTAGCAATATCTCTAGAACCAAACTTCCATAAAGGACTGTTTTTATCAATAACATGTTCAATTTCTAGCGGGAAAATTAATGATCCATAAGGTTTAATCTTCATTTCTTTCATTTCAAATTTTTTATCATAACTTCCTTCCTTGTCGATAAAATAGAGAAATATTTTAGTTCCACACCATATGGTACTGTTAAAATCATGTATTTTAAAGATGAAATATAGCTGGTCATCTCTTAAACAAATCTAAAAATTTGGGTGTTTCTTAAGCCTGGTTCTAACAGAAAAGTAATTTAATTTAACTTAAAAGTTAAAAACCCAACAATCCTTTGTAACGTTCATACAGTGATGTAATTTAAGACTTAATTTAATAGTCATCTTTTAAATTAAATTACGTTATTTCAAGGTTATTTCGTATTATCTAACCTATTTTGGGAGAATCCAACCTATTTTGTGTAAACTGTTTTAATAATAAGAAAAATATTTCGATTGTAATTTCCAAAGTAAGCCATATATATCTAAAACTTTAAGTTTTAGATACATGAAGTAAGCACTCTCTTTAAAATATTGTTTTTAATTTCAAACACTATTAAATTACTTACGTTAATTTTTGTATGAACGCAAGTAAATTAAATTATATTACGTTATTTCTCTGTTAGAACCCAGCTTTAAACCTTACTACTTTACTTTCTATAAAGATTATTATCTATAAAATTAGAATAAAATTTAAATTATAAAATGTGCTAATTTGTACCAAATCTATTTTACTATTGGAATGGATTTGTGTTTCCGGAGTGGCATGGGTTAAATATATATTTAAATTAAAACTCTAATAACTAATTTTGTGGGTCCCCAAGAATTACCAAAAAATACATGTCTATTAAAATAATATCCAAACTTTGCTTAAAGACACATTTCAAAAAAACATGCAACCCCCCTAGGGTCGTAAAAATTTCGGCTGAAAACCGTTTTGATAAAAAATTCTCATGCCGTTTAACCCTTCCTAAATGAAATTATAATGACAAAAGAAAAAGGTCATAACCCACTAATACACGACATTGTGTCGCTTACGATAATATTTTGCTCCCGCCTTGATCTATCGTTATTCCCGCTCTAAACAGTTTATTCGTGAGTATACCTGCATCGTGGTGATTGCTACCAAGTTTTAATATAATATTTTATTTGATCAAAAGCTTATAATTACTTTATTTTATTGCATTATTAACTCTCTAAAAATGAATTAGTCAAAAATGACTAATTTAATAATTATTAGTGGCTGCTTTTTCACTTGTACCATGGTTAACCATGGAATACCATGGCACTCCAAAATTTAACAGCCAATTCTTATGTAAAATTGTCCCCTAAATCCGAATATGTAGTCCAAAGTTAAAAAAGTAGAACAGTTTTTGTGATATAGTCAATTTTCCATTTAATATGGAATTGACTATATCTCAAAAACTGCTCCACTTTCATAATTTTTGACGGTATTTTCGGATTCAGGGGACAATTTTACATAAGAATTTGCTGTTAAATTTTGGAATGCCATGGTATTCCATGGTTAACCATGGCACAAGTGAAAAAGCAGCCACTAATAACTATTAAATTAGTCATTTTTGACTAATTCGTTTTTAGAGAGAATAGTTTTACTAATTATAATTGTGTGGTTCGTTAACCCGTAACTGGTGAGGTCACTTTTTTGTTACATAACTGGTGAGGTGGGGTTTACCAAACCCCAAATGAAAATTCTACAGGCACAACCATGATTTAATACGTGGTAAAGATTCTTAGAATGGGTGGGGTTTGGGAAACCCCTCCTCACCAGTTATGTAACAAAAAAGTGACCTCACCAGTTACGGGTTAACGAACCACACTGGGTAACAACAATTATAATTAGGATAACTATAGTTATTAATAATACAATAAACACTTGAAATATGACATGTCCAAGTATGGGATGATTCAACAAAACTGTCACTGTCATCCTCCATAGGCTTTGGATGGACCATAGCAACCTTAGTTCTTCGTACAGAAAAAATATTGGAAATTGCAATGTTTTTTTTTTTAATCCTTTTTGTTTTACTAAATAAATATATTAAGGTGAACCAAAAACAAAACTGTTAAAAACTTAATTTAGAACAATATACGGTTTTGCCACTCTATAGACTGTCTTAAACTTAGGGTAAAAAACATCTTTTTGTTTAAACCTGTATATTATAAACGTACATCAATTTTTAAGTAATTTTTTAAAATAATCGCTCACATTAATTTATCTAATCCAACATCAAATAAAAAAGTTATTTGCGATTGAAATTCATCGAAAATTTGTGTGGATCGATTATTTTGCCTGTGAGTGTATATTTCAAATTATGTAAAAAACAAATTTAGTTAAATAAGTTAAATGACATCCAAAACAAATATATTATTTTTTAATTTGTTTTTCTGTAACTGTGTTAAATAATTTAGATGAAACCCAAGTAAAAAAAGACAAATTAAAGTCAACTTGAAAATTCCGAAAAAAAAGATATATTTTTTATTTATTTCAAACATTGTCCTCCGATAATATGGATGGGTTTACGAAAAAATCGTAACAACGGTTTTTTATAAAGGGTAAGTTTTCCTACAAAAATTTATATAATATTATACAATATTATTGTTGCATGTCTATTAATATAATAAATTTATTTAATATTATACAATATTATTGCTGCATGTCTACTATAATTAGTAATGAATATTTCCTCATGTCAATAAAATGTCATTTGAGCAGGGTTAAACTATAGACCCTTATGACCGGTCTCTGGGTTAAACAATATCGTATTCTTTTCAAAATTATTTTTAGAGTAAACAAAAAATTTAGATGAAATCAAAATAAAAAAACGGACACCCCACTGTCCGTATTATTATTGATTTTAAAAATGATTCTGTAAAATTCAAATGCAATTTGCATATTAAATTAATTTTTAGACTCGTTAATAATTATAATTATTATTGGCCTTTAATAATTATAATTATTATTGGTCGTTAATTATTATTGTAAAATTTATTTAAAATACCTAATGTTTTAATTATTGCAATTGTATTTTATTTATAATAAGAAATAATATATTATGTTTAATAGCGTTAAATTAACCCTGATGTTCTGCAGTGGCGGCTGGTGGATTTTGGGTTTACCGATATCTCAATTATTAGATATTTATGTATATGATTTCAAAGAAATAACAAAAATTTAAAATGGTATAAAATCTGTATAATTTGGATTTTTTAAATTAAATTTGAAATTTCTCGATAAACTATGGTGAATAATAAATTGCACCCATTAAATTTATATTATATTTATTGGGGGCGCCATGGGGCCGGTACGACCGAGCAAAAAGTTATCTTTTTTTGCAAACTTCAATTTAAATTCTGCTTTCGAAAAACTTGTTTATTTAATGTTATTATAAATAAAATCATATAAATTTGGTGTGGGTCCCATATCTAATAATTGAGATATCGCCACCCGCCACTGATATTCTGTTTAATTTATTCCCTAAGTAATTTTTGTAATAAATTCGTGAGTGACCCTTGCATTATGAAATTTTTGTATATAAAACGGGGTGGTTAATCAAGCGTGGTAACGGAAAATGTTATGTGGATATTGCTTTTTTAAAAAATGGATATAAAGGTTAACTTGATTTGTTAAAGGTTTAGGTACCTATAGGAACATACATAGTATAAATACATTTTTATGATTTTAAAATATAAACTGCTTGCAAAAAAATACAAATTTAGTAAAATATAAATGCTTGTGGGCATTTTTTTAATTATTGGGCTTCAGCGCTTACAAAACTTCTTAAAGGTTAAAAATGACAATAATACAATTGACAATGATTACATTTTATATAAACTTACGAATGTTAAATACATACAAAAATAAATAAGTTTTGCCAATCATTTTTATTATAATTATAATTATAAAATGCACCAAATAGATTGTTCTCAGTGGCGTAGCGTGACGAAGCACTGGTCCCCGCAGTGGTGTCGAAAACCCGTCTTAAAATCTACGTAAAACGGACCGAATTCGTCAAATGGAAGGGACGAAGTGTGAGGGCTATGAGACGTCCTTTTAACAAGATATCTGTCAAATTTAACAATTATGAGGGAAATTCTGAGGGGGCTGTGGACGAGAGAGGCCCGACCAGAGAAATTTTTCCCATGGCAAATACAACTTGTCATGGCAGTTACGAATATTTCAAGGCAAACATGAATTTTTGAATTGCAAACTGCAAAAGCTTATCAATAAAAAATAACCTTTCATAATAATAATCATTTTTATTTGTTCATAAATAATTTTATTTTATATCTTTGTACAGTATTTTATAAAACGTTGTTTTGTAGGAAAGTCCTACTAGGAATACATTTTTAGTTAGCAAATTTTATATTTTTGTTTATGTTCGTTTAAATAAATACACCAATGTTAATTTGTTTTTTTTTATTTATTAATGTAAACGTAATTAATCTACAGTAGTGTCAAAATTTCATCACGTAGTAGTAGGCTTGTCACTACCAAGCTTCTCTAAAACCATTTTACACAAATCGTGTACGTCATTGTCTAAAAAGACACATTCTTTTTCACAAATTTGCAAATGCTCTACTTCTACTACTATAACGTGGTCTCTAGAATTATGTATTTGTGGAAAATTGAAGATAACATCTGGATGTCCTGAGGGGCAGTTGCTGTGTCGATTTTTTATGATCAAATGCATATTCCATTCTAGGACAACGTTATTCAATTCCTCCTAAAAATTGCATATATCTATATACCTAGTATACGTCCAGATGTTATCTTCAATTTTCCACAGATCCATAATTCTAGAGGTACAACCTATAGGTATACCCACTTGGCATGTAATATTACGGAAATGTTGTAATATATATAATGTTGTGTTATATATAATTGAAATATGTCGTGCCGTGTGAGTAATCTCTAGTTTTGGGACTAAACTCACTTGAATAATATCCATGAAACAAAATTGCAATATTGATTTATCTACAATGTTACCAGTAAATAGCCCATCATCTCTCAACTGTGAAAACAAATTCATCCAGTACTGACCAAAATGTTTTTCTTAAGATAGACCACCATGACTCGACATTCTGACAGACCAAATGTTCATGTTAAAACGGTAGAATTTATCAACAACTTATTTAACTCTACCGGAAATATTCGAAAGCCTAGACCAAAAAAGTATGCTGTAAACAATAAATACGTCATTTGCTGAAGGTGCAAGAATTTTTAATGCTCGACATCCTGACAGACCAAATGTTCATGTTAAAATGGTAGCATTTATCAACAACCAGTTATAACGCTACCGGAAATATTCGAAAGCCTAGACCAAAAAAGTATGCTGTAAACAATAATGTACGACACATTCACGATGACCAAATAATTCAAGCATTTAGAATGGATCCTCATGCCAGTGTTCGGAATGTAGCTCGAAATTTAAACCTGGATAAATCTAAGGTTTGGAGATGTCTAAAACGAAATCGGCAAAAAGCTTTTAAACCAAAATTTTTATATACCCTGTTTGAAGGTGATAATATTAGAAGATTGGAGTATTGTTTCTGGGCTCAAGGAAATTTCCTTATTGACAGGAATTTTCTCAAAAATATCCTCGATACAGACGAGGCCACTTTTACAACCAATGGAGTGGTCTCTAGTCAAAATTGTCAATATTGGGCAGAAGAAAACCCACATTGGATAATAAATTGTAAAAGCCAAAAGTGTGAAAAAGTGAATGCATGGTGCGGCATTTTAAAAGAAGAAATCATAGGTCCTTTCTTTTTTGAAACTTTGAATGCTGCAACATTTCTAAATTTTCTCCAAACAGATTTTGCAAATGTTTTGGATAATATGCCTTTGCTCATAATAAGGCGTTTATTGTTTCAATTAGATGGAGCACCGGATCACAGAGCGCGTGTAGTGCGGGACTGGCTTGATGCCCAGTTTCCCATGAAGTGGATAGGATCCAAAAGCCCACTTTAAGAATGGCCTCCTCGGTCGCCCGACCTTACACCAAAAGACTTTTATTTTTGGAACCGTATAAAAAATTTGGTTTATAAGGATATGCCTCAAACGGCGCAACAACTTCGCGAGAGAATAGTACAAGCATGTGCGGAAATCACACCGGCAGAGTTAAGAAAAGTGGTTCAACATAATAGAAAAGTGATTGAAAAGTGCATAATTGTCGATGGCCAATACGTAGAGCAAACTGCTATTCGATAACTTGTATTTGTAATAATTGGGTAAAATTCATCGATGTTATAATTAATTTATAGTGATAGAATATGTTAGATTTAATTATTAGTTACGTCAACACCCTGTATGCTATTATTTTCATATTTGGTATAGGGGGGTTTTCGATGATGCTAAATAACAATATGCTATTATCAGACCATTTAAAAATTGCCTAATATATTTTTCTAAAAAAAATTGTTGTTTTTTTATTATAACAACGAACGCCACTGGTGAAAATTAAATTTTCTTCTTGCGTCATGATCACCTGATGGGTAAGTCCAATTGACCAAAATTTTGTAAAAATCGTGTTACTAATAACGGAGCTACAATATGGGAGTCATGAAAAGTGCGACACACATATCCTGCTATTACCTTTGGATCATTGTTCGTGCTAGACGCTTTTAACCACAACACTTTTCGAGAATATCCGTCTATGCATTCACTGATGCATATTCCTTACGGCTTTAGTTTATCATATCCGTCCATGTGCCACAGAAAATTAGGCACCTTATTAAAGTAATAAATTCTATTTATTTTTCTCTTCCATCTTAAAGATACACCGAGGGGATCGATAATGTTTAGTAAAAGACGAACCGTTTCTTGTGTAATGATGATTCCGGAGTGCAGGCACTTTAAGTGCATCCACTTATTGTGATTCCAAAAAACTTATTACATCGTTAATTGAGGTAAAGTTTTTTCGATTTGAGATCAGATTCGACTTTTTAGATATATTTGGGGAAATTTTAGGTCTTAAAATTTACATTTATATATTTTGACATCAGATTCGATCTTGCCATACTGCAATACATATGTAAACAAATTTTTAATTAATTCATACGTGTAATTTTATTTTGGCAGACTTTTTATGCCTTACGGCAATATGGTTTGTTTGCCTTAAAAGTCCGACAAAATAAAAAAAATTAATTTAAGAAAATAGGGAAAATAATGCACAGATTATATAAAGCGATAGTCCTTCCAAGCGAATGTACCACAAGTGATTAGATGCAGGCAAATGCATGTTATTAACTTTTAAAGTGAGCGCTGCGACAAGAGCGAGAATCCTCCAGAGTTAAGCTAAATAATATGCCTACTTTAAGACATTGTTATAAAGAGTGTATAGCACCAATTTTCATTCTGAAAGATGGATTCAACTCAAGAAAGTCTCTATTTTCATAATATTTGTACAAAAACTTGTTTTAAACTTTAAAGCCTCTATTAATTGAGTGTCTTTGGTGAAATTTACATTTTTGATTTTTTTTTTTAATTTTGATATCAGATTCGATCTTGCCATACTTCATACATATGTAAACAAATTTTCAATTAATCCGTGCGTGTAATTCTATTTTGACAGACTTTTCATGCCTTACGAACCACAGTGCGGTGGTGAGTCTCTGCTCGAGTGCTTAAGCAATGCAATGCTGTTAAAAACTCCTTTTGAAATCCGAATTTGATCGAACGTTCCGTCTATGTAGTAAGGAAATATGTAAAATAATAACATTTTAAAAAGTAAAAAATGGCATTCCCCCATAATTATCCACCCCTTAGGGTAATGATACGTGTGGAATAAATCTGAAATTTATCCTTGTTATGAAAAATATTATTTGTAAACGTTATATGAAACAATATAATAATATTAAATATTCTGCAAGCATTTCTCTTATCACCGCTTTTGTTTAATTTCGTTCAGGATCTCATGCCAGCATCGACAGACGCGTTTCGTTCTGTGGAACTCATCAGTGCCGAGTTGCTATAGGCTTGAGACCCAAACGAAAACTTTAATTCCCTTCCTTATATTGAAAAGGAATAGTTCAAAAGCGGCGAGAAGAGAATTTGCCTGCACAATGGTGACATCTATCGTTTTTCAACGCAGTCTTCTATATGTCATGACATTATCTGTATGGGACATATAGCGTGCAATAATTATTATACCACTACTTGTTGTGTGCAATAAATCTAAAATTAATCCTTGTTATGAAAAATATTATTTGTAAAGGTTATATGAAATAATACAATATTAATTATTATACCACATTTATGCAGAAGTCAAATTTATAACTGTCTGGGGTCTATGCTATCTGTATGGTTACATGAAGAACAATAATACACAGGTACAATAATTCTCTCTTTTTAAAAATTTCTCGACAAATACAACAAATTTCGTTAGGTTTAAAAGGCATTTTTAGAGAAGGTAGTAAAAAGGTTAATTAAGCATAGTCTAATTTATTATTGTAACTTTGCGCACGGTTTTTGTCAACTACACTGAGAAAAAACAATGGTTATTTTAATCAAATATTCTGATTAGTATAGGCACAGTCATATATACTGTCATGTTAACCATGATTATATTTTAACAGTTTTATTGTCACTTTAACTATATTTTTGTTGTTGCACAAAACAATAATTTATTTATAATCATATGCGTAGGGTTACAAGTACCTTATAACCCTCTCTATATGGTTAAATATATTATACGTATGATATGTATAAACTTGTGAACTTAAGTAAGTGGTAATTACCACCTTACCACCATATTTTCTGTCGCCAAAAATTAATAGAAATTTGTAAACAGATCGATAATATTACGATATTTATTATTATTTCTTGCTAACTATCCTCGAAAATAATCGCGCCAACAATTCAACAACTTCATACTTTACCGCAATTTTTAAAATAAAGAAGTAAAAAAAATATACAAGGTGTCCCTAAACTTAGTGGCATAAATTTAGGAGCACATTAAGCAAGTCAAAATAAGACTAAAATCTAAATAAATATTTTTCCTAAATACGTATTTTTAAAAGATACAAGGTGTTACTTATCATATCAGTTTTTTTAATATAATATAATTCTACTATGATAAACTTGGAAAGGTGATATTTTGCGAACAGTCACTTACTACCAAAACACATGTTTACACATAATTACAATTGTTCGAGTGAACACAGCGTCGTAGAAACAGGGGTTGCTTAAGCTTATTGTCCCATACAAACTTTGAGGTTAGGTTTTTAAACCATTTGATGCAATTTTTCGGTTACTCAGTTCGGCTACTATTAAAAAGGTGTACCTATCAAACTTCGATAAAATAAACCGTTTCCGAGATATTTGAGATTACAATAATTGTTATATCGCATTAGACTAAAAGTTATATGATAACAATTTTTTTTACTTGAAAAAACTACAATTTTTTTAGTGACGGTCAGGGCAAAAAGTCTCGAGGCTCATGGAATGCCCTTTTTAGTTTTTTCAATTAAAAAATAAAATTTGTTATCATATACCTTTTAATCCTTTTAAATAATGCGATATAAAAATTATTGTAATTTCGTCTATCTAGGAAACCTTTTTAACGGTAGCCGAACTGTGTAATCTAAAAATTGCATCAAATGTTATAAAAACCTAACCTCAGAGTTTGTATGGGACAATAAGCTTAAAGCAACCCCCCTTTCTACGACACTGTGTTCGCTCAAACAATTATAATTATGTGTGAATATGTGTTTTGGTAGTAAGTGATTTTTCGCAAAATATCACCTTTCCAAGACTACCATAGAAGAGGTTATATTAAAAAACTGATATGATAAGTAACACTTTAATAAGTAATAAGTAATTAGGAAAAATATTTATTTGGGTTTTCGTCCTATTTTGACTTGTTCAATCTTTTCCTAAATTTATGCCAATAAGTTTAGGGACAGCTTGTATAACAAAATAGTTTTTTTTATTTAAAAAATGCCCACAATATTTTTTTTTGTACTATACTTACCACCGCCTTTTTGCTGAACAACGAATTCAATACTTTTCTGAAAGGCCGCGAGATTTTCACGTATATTGCGCTAACTAGCACCCCTTGTAAGGCAACGCTGCACAGCGCCTGAAATGTAAGCAGAATCCACCCTTTCCTACAATTTTCTGTCGGGTATCGGTAGCCATAACCGATAGACGTGATCGTTTCCATGCTCAACAAAAAGTATCCTGTTAACGTTTTAGTGTTCACCACGCATGGTGTTGTGTTGTCTGGATCAAAGTCGCCGCTGATATAAGCTAACCTAGAAAAGTATGTTTTATTAGGATTCTGTAAAAAAGGCTTTTTGGGAGACCCTGTCTCGCCATATTACGCGATAAATTTGTGGAATAAGTAAAAAAAATCAAAATTTGGTTAAATTATACATAAATATTAGGGTGTCCGTTATTTACCAAGTTGATTTTTTTTCTTGCGACGCCCCCTAAATTTTTAGTCTATCGTCAAAAAAAAATTTCAGACCAAAGTAAACTAATATTCATAATAAACCTTGCCCGATACATTTCCCATTCAAATTACATGGGATTTTGACACTTTTTTCAATTAATTCTTTTTTTCCCAGGCAAGATGACTTACAGCAATGAGACATATATATTCTTATAGTAAATTGAACGCTCTACAAAAAATGTCTCTTATAATTTTTCGATTAAATCACTCGTTAAAAAGTTATTCGGGGTGAAAGTTAAACTCTGTGTACATTTTCTGATTTTTTTTACTTTTACGGCAAAGTTATTATTATTTCGATGAAAGTTATTAGTATATTTCTGGAAATAGATAATTCTGGTGGTATTAGGGTATACAATTTTTAAACCTGGAAAATAATAGACTGCATAACAGGTAGCTGGTTCTAGTTTTCATTTTTGAGACTTTATGTATAACACACAGTCAACTAATTTTTATTGAATTTCAAGTTTTGTATACTTTCATGAAATTTTCCTTTAATACAGTAAGTGACTCAAAATTACTCTTACAAGCATTCCCGCCAACACACGGAATTTTTATTGACGCAAGCGCGCTAAAGCGCATTTAGTACCTTGACGGCGCTTTAAGTCCTTTTAGTATTGTATATTTGTTATATTGTATACAAATATCTCTGCATATTGTTGTGAATGTTGTGTCGTACATTAACAGTAGTTATTTATATAATAAAACTTTTATTATAATAATTATATAATTATATATATTATATAATTATATAATTATATATTATATAATAATATAATTATATATAATTATATATTATATAATTATATAATTATACACAAAAAACAAAATTTAGAATTAGTGCAATTTTTAACATATAGGTAAATAAAAACTTTAAAATTAAATTTATAATGAAAATCTCATTGGAATTAAAATTTCACGTTCAAGTTCAATTACTGGCAAAAAGTTACCAACAAATAAAGAAGTTCTGCAACTACTGTACCATCACTCAAGAAATCGCAATAAATCTATTGATGACAGCTGTTCAATCGTTATACGTGAAGTGACAGGAAATTGGAGTGAAGCAGTAGTTCAAACTCAAATTAATTCACGTTGCATAACAAAATTAAAAAGTCTCTACGCAGAATACAGAAATGTACAAAAACATCTTAACCAAAAAAATAAAACAAAAGAGCAAGATTTGTCAAATAAACTCGAACATTGCTGACGGTGACGTTTTTAAAATGATTGACGAGGAGACAAAACAATTTTTTATTGATCAAAGAACTCGACGGATTTTTCATATAAATATTGCTGAAACAAATAATGAATTATTGCATTTGTTAGGCAACGCGAATTAATTTGAGTTGGAATTACTGCTTCACTCCAAATTCCTGTCACTTCACGTATAACGATTGAACAGCTGTCATCAATAGATTTATTGCGATTTCTTGAGTGATGGTACAGTAGTTGCAGAACTTCTTTATTCACAACAATATGCAGAGATATTTGTATACAATATAACAAATATACAATACTAAAAGGCAGTGGCGTAGCTAGCCTCGAGGGGGCCCCGTATCAAAAATCTTGTAGGGGCCCTTATCCCGGAAAAATTTTAGGGTATCATTTTTTTGCATTTACCAATTTTTATAATTTAATAAATAATATATACATATGTTGGTGAATCTCACAAAATGTCCCCCGATGATGTTACCCCATGATATTTAATAATTATTAGATTTAAATCCAAATGAGTTTGACCTACACTTTTATTGTGTTTTGATCTTTCATAATTAAGTAGATATTACAGCTCAGGTTCCAGATTTTTAACCGCAATTAATTATTTTTTACAATGTTTTAAAAGTCTAAAACCTATCCTTCCTGACTGTTACTCTTTCTAGGTTAACCTATATGTTTTCAAATATCTAAGGTAGTAAAAGCATACCAAAAATATCAGTTCACTAAGGAAATTAAACACATCGAATATAATATTATTAAAAATTAAAAGAAATAATTTTTATAACCATTTATGTAGGTGTTACAAAAATTGATTATATCCTCCGTGAATCTGTTTTTGCTTTAAATTTTATGCAACGGATAGCGCTTTAATCATTTTAAATAACCAAAAACCTCTGTTTACGACATTATAGATGCATGTGATTCCCAAAGGTTAGTTAGAATTTATATGCAGATGAGAGTGTTGCTGTTTTATAATTCAAAAGTTTAAATTCATTAATTTGCTATTTAAAAACCTATGCACCGTGAGGTGTAAGTAGATTTTTTTTATAAATATTTTATGTATGTAGGACCTACATACATAAAATATTTATAAAAAAAATCTACTTACACCTCACGGTGCATAGGTTTTTAAATAGCAAATTAATGAATTTAAACTTTTGAATTATAAAACAGCAACACTACATTGTAGGTACGTACAATTGTATTTTTTTTAAATATAAAGGATTCAAAAGATACAATAACTTATTTCAAATATACAAAGGTTTAAAAAAACATACGAAATCCTAACCTCCGTGAAGCTATCTTCCGTAAAGCTAAAATATTCAAAATGTATGATTTCTTAATACATTAGTGCAGAACCACTTATGTTATGTTATTACTAGACCTGGTGGCTTCCCAAAAACCATATTCTAAACTAACAGTGAAACAACTAAAAATAAAAAATAATCATTTTCACTTGGGGGACATCTCAATATATTCACCCATGTATACATAGCTTTTTATGTACAGGCAAATTTTAAAATTTGGTCTGGTTTTAGATATTTACCGTTCTTCAACATCTTTTAAAAGGTTTCTATTTTAAAATAAAGGCAAGTCATTTGAAATAGTTGTAACGCTAATAATTATTTCCAATTTGCTATTAATATAACCTATGATAGTAGAGGATCCCAAGTAAGGTCGACCTTCACTCATCTGCTTACCAGATGAAAATTATATTTTATCAAATAAAATATGTTTCTGAACATATACCGATAGGGTTGCCAAAAAAAATATGATCATGGCTATAATTAATAAAGAATTAAAAAAATAATTTATTTTTTAAATTTCACTGACTTGCTTGCCAAATAAATGAAATTCCAATGGAAAGCATACAACATACAGAATATGTAACAGCTAGGTTGCCTACCTTTTTCTGGTCCCTATTACCTGGTTGCTGTGTACAAACAAGTAAGTTGATACGAGTAATTGCACTCATATGCTTACCACTTGAAAAATATATGAAAATGTAGGCAATTTTATTACGAATACAGTAGTATAGGGTTGCTTTGCAAAATCCGTTCATAAATAACAGTTGCTAGGCTTTTAATTAAAAAAAATAGAGCAAGCAAAGATGTATGACAGAGAAGCATTGCGCGTACTATTTGATGCGATAGAGGAGGACTCAGTACAACAGCATGCTTTCTGCTTATATAAAAGAATAAAACTAATATCTGTACCTCAGAGCAAAAGGGTATTAAGACCAAAATTTAAATTTTTTGGTTTTTTTACTTACTTCGATTCAAGTTTTGCAATCTTTTTACTAATTTACCTTCAATTATGTTTGGACTTAAAACGACCAAAACACCATTTAATAAAGGTATTAGTACCGCATAACTCCTAGTGCAAAACAAAATTTTGTTTTCGCTCTCCTGTAAAATTTGGAGCAAACAGTCAGTTTGTAAACACGGGTTTTGTGAAAAAATAAAAAATGGCGAAGAAGTATTTTTTATGCAAATCAAATGATTCTGTGATTGATTTACATAAAAAACACTTCTTCGCCATTTTTATTTTTTTCACAAAACACGTGTTTATAAACGAACTGTTTGCTCCAAAACGCTTCTCAATAGCATATACTCAAATACTAAATTTTGTTCATAAAGTCATAATTGGACGCCTTTCTGCAGAAAGGAACCAACCCACAAAACCAAAAAAATCGAGATATTTAGCCTATGAACTAATTAAGTGTGTATAATTTATCTGCAAAATAGGTCATAGCCAAAATGCAAGTGTAGTGAAATCTATTAATCATTGAACCAACCAACATTTAATAATAGTGTGGATTACTAATCCAGAATTAGAATCTGTAGAATATCTGCAAGTGGGTTGGATCTTTTTGGTAAAAAAGCAGGCTGGTAGACCCACTACCAAAGTCTTTAAAGATTTCCTGCTTCTGCAAAATATAAAGTCTTGATGCATTTTTTTGGTAGCTTACAAGATGAGGTGGGGTTGGAAGATGATGTGGACGAATTTCAAATAGAATCAAAATTAATTCATATTACCATTATAATAGTAATTTCAGTTGTATTTTGTTTGGAAATAAATAATTGTCGCTTTTCTTTAAATACATACATACATCAGATAGTAGTTTTCATAAATTGCAGAAAGGAACCAACCAACAAAAGCCCATTTTTTTCGTCACCCTTACACATAACATCACAAAATCCACCTGATGAAATTATTAAATTATAACCCTTAAGCCTCCGTAAGTCCAAAATCGGCATAAAATTAACAGGTAATTTTAAAATTATTAAAATCTTTGATAGCTTTTTTCTCAGTTTCATCATGGTGTGGGTTGGTCCCATTCTGCAGAAAGCCGTCCAATTGATGTGACAGCTCGATGTCACCTTGACATTGACGGAAAAGTTTTATTCACACAGCCACAATATAGCTGTATAAGTTTTTTTTGTTAGCAATAGTACATCTTTGCTTCCTCCAATTTTTTAATTTAAAAGTCTAGCAACCGTTATTTATGAACGGATTTTGCAAAGCAACCCTATACTACTGTATTCGTAATAAAATTGCCTTCATTTTGATATATTTTTTAAGTAGTAAGCATATGAGTGCAATTACTGATATCAACTTACCTGTTTGTACAAAGCAACCAGGTAATAGGGACCAGAAAAGGTAGGCAACCTAACTGTTACATATTCTGTATGTTGTATACTTTCCATTGGAATTTCGTTCATTGGGCAAGCAAGTCGGTGAAATTTAAAAAATAATTTTTTTTTGAATTTTTTATTTATTATAGCCATGATCATATTTTCTATGGCAACCCTATTGGTTTACGTTCAGAAACATATTTTATTTGATAAAATATAATTTTTATCTGGTAAGCAGATGGGTGAAGGTCGACCTTACTTGGGATCTTAGACTATGATAATAACACCCAAAGCAGACTCATTATGCGGCGCAGAGCACAGAACAATATGCCCAGATTCCGCCGCAGACAACGCATAGCGGAAAGGTGCAGGAAAATTTTAATTTAATAAATCGAAGAATAAACAATTAAATAATAATATTATTTATTTATTTAATTTGATGCCTCAATTTTTTTAACATGTGGGTAATATGTTTTTTTCTTACCCATGTCGAAGCCAATCGGGGGCCCCCCCTGGCCGGGGGCCCCGTATCACTGATACGGCTGATACAGCGGTAGCTACGCCCCTGCTAAAAGGACTTAAAGCGCCGTCAAGGTACTCAGAGACGGCTTAAGGCAATTGAGCGCCTTAGGCACTTAAAAATTTGGCTCCTATAACTAGATACTATACTTACGGGGCCCGGGGCAAATTTTAAAAAAGCTTATTAGAGCCACCCCAAACTGTTAGCTTAAGGGCGCCCGGGCGCGCCCGAGCATTATAACCTAATTATTCCCTATGAATTAGAATACTTTTTATCATTAAAAAAATACATAAAAAACATAAATAACATACAAAAATAACAAATATAATGTAAATAAAAAGTGTTAGGACTTATGCCTGCGTTTTTCTGCAAGATGTCATTAGTAAGTATTTAAAAAAAATAAAATCAACTTTAATTTTCTGTATTGTATGTTAGATGTACTGCTGGTTTATTGTAATTAGTTTAATATTAAAATTTCAGAAATACCTTAAAACAAACAGAAAAATTAACACTATCTAAATGTGGATTTAGCCAGCATTTTTGTAACGTAATCTAACGTAACGTAATTTAATTTAAAAGCCAGGCTAAATCAACCTTTCAACCGATCAAACTATCGAACACAGACTGCTATCACCAAACACACAACACATAGAAGTGCCACTCTTGAATAAACGCGAAAACACCCAAGTCCTTTCGGCAGCAGTTTCCTCTAGTTACTAGAGTCTAGTTACTAGAGTCTAGTAGCTCGTACCCGCTAGGGTGAGCAGCACATCACAGCGGGTACCCGATGCAAGAGGAATCCGTGTGCTTGGAGCATACGGGGGTTTTGAAATAGTTTAAAGAGTGCTAAAGATATGTTTATACAGAAGTGAATTTGCGGCACGATTTTTGTCGGCTTTACACCTCGTTATTACATAGGAAGGTAAATTTTTATAAAATAATAAAAACAGTAAAAAATATTCTGTTATTACAATTGTATATTGTTTATTTGTTTTATTTTTGGAAAAAATAAACATTTTGGTAACAATTTTTATTTTTTTTTAAGTTGCTTGGGGACAAGGCGCCTATTTCTACGTGGCGCCTAAGGCAAGTGCCTTTCCTGCCTAATGGGTAATATGGCCCTGAGGGTACTAAATGCGCTTTAGCGCGCTTGCGTCAATAAGAATTCCGTGTGTTGGCGGGAATGCTTGTAAGAGTAATTTTGAGTCACATACTGTATTGAAGGAAAATTTCATAAAAGTATACAAAACTTGAAATTCAATAAAAATTAGTTGACTGTGTGTTATACATAAAGTCTCAAAAATGATTAAAACTAGAACCAGCTACCTGTTATGCAGTCTATTATTTTCCAGGTTTAAAAATTGTATACCCTAATACCACCAGAATTATCTATTTTCAGAAATATTCTAATAACTTTCATCGAAATAATAATAACTTTGCCGTAAAAGTAAAAAAAAACAGAAAATGTACACAGAGTTTAACTTTCACCCCGAATAACTTTTTAACGAGTGAAAAATTATAAGAGACCTTTTTTGTAGAGCGTTCAATTTACTATAAGAATATATATGTCTCATTGCTGTAAGTCATCTTGCCTGGGAAAAAAAGAATTAATTGAAAAAAGTGTCAAAATCCCATGTAATTTGAATGGGAAATGTATCGTCTTTGGGGCAAGGTTTATTATGAATATTAAGAGTTTATTTTGGTCTGAAATTTTTTTTTAGACGATAGACTAAAAATTTAGGGGGCGTCGCAAGAAAAAAAATCAACTTGGTAAATAACGGACACCCTAATAAATATACAAGTATTATAAATGGACATAAAAATATTTACTTTTTTAAAATACAGGGTGTTTAAGTATATATAGTTTAACAAAAAAAATCATTCACGCACCAAAAAGGCCACAATAAATTTAGCATATTTTGCGTTTGAGTTTTTTTGGTCAAAATACGTTTGACAATTTTGCTGAACAATGAACCAATAGGAAAACAATGACAAAAAAATATATTAAATGCTATTTTTGTCAGTGTTGACAGTCTCTAATAAAACTTTTTTATTAAGATAAAATATACTATTTAATAGATATTTAACACGAAATTTCGTTTACGCACCAAAAAGGCATTTGCATAAATGTTAAAAAATATGACATATGTTTTTTTTACTGTTGTAAATTTTTGGTAAAATAAAAATTAATTTATGATAATAAAGTATGCCTTTAAGAATAATAATAATTTAAGCCAAAAAAAAATCACGCAGAAAGAAGGACCACACTTGTGAATAATATAAATTCTTTCATTATAATTATTATCTATTATTATAATAATATACATATATATTACGTACCACATCCAAAAAAAACTGAACAAAAAATAGGTAGCCAAATTTACTAAGATCACAGTTAACCATATCCAACGCCATTTTGTTACGAGTAAAGTATGTCCAAAATCTTTCAAATACTCCCTAAAATTTTGAGGAACCACTTTATGCTTCAAAAACGTATTGATGCCTCCATATTTTTTGATAACCCTCTTGGGGGTGTTGATGTTAACTAAAACAGAACTAGAATAAAAATAAATAGTATTTTATTTTTAAATTGTTAGTAGTACTAACTTAGTGAAAAATGTATAAAATATTTGGTTTTTCTACTCACTTGCGCAAAGTTGTACTTTTTCGCTCGCTAACTTTGCGTATGCAAATGCGTTAATACAGTAAGGTTATTAAATCATAAAGCCTTTAATAGTATTTTTCATTAAAACAAAATATATTGCTAAAATATTTCAATATAAAAATATAATCAGCAACTTTGCGCCATATTATATGCACAAAGTAATTTTTCCGCACTCACGTTACCAGTGGCGTGCGGGTAAATAAAACTTTGCGCACTTGTTCGAAAAATAACTATTCCTGTCAATTTTTTAAGTTTCGATTATGAAAAAAACTTACTTTAATTTATGTTTGTTTAATTTCAACGACTCCTCAAAATTTTGGTTTGGATGTACAACTTGATCGAGGGCACTTTGATATCTCAACATGTTTGTTGCTTTGGCGTTAGCGTCAAGCAATTATTTTACACTTAACAAGCAAACCGTTGTATTGCTAAGATTAGAATCGATTGCTATCGACTTATCATTATCAATGATTATGTAGATGAGCGTTTGATTGGTGTGTTTAGGAAATCGTCCTTAATTAAGTAAATCAATCCTTCAGCATATTGAGGTTTTGTTTGTCAGCTTTAAATGTAATTTACTTGATAAATAAATATTATTTGCGAGTAGTTTTACCTATATTATTATTAGATATTGATGATCCAGTTTAAACCACTTTTTTATTATCTCTACTTTAATACACTGATTTGTCAACATAAAAATGCACAAAAATAATTAATTACTTTTCTCTATAGGAGAGTAAAAGCGTATGTTGACCCAATATTTTTATAACGGTTGACATTTTATTTTTTTAATTGTAGAGCACTAATTGAATAGTATATATTCTTGTTTTCGGATTGATCAGAACAAACCCCGCGGCGCCATGGCCCGCCATCTTGAAAAAAAAAACTTAAAAAAACTTATGAACCTTTTATCGCACAGAGGCCAACATACTTGTAAAATACTGGCAATTTTAGGAGCTACAGTTTTTATAAAACCTATTTTGCTTACACTGAAAAAAGTCAGTATTAATTTTTAAGTTGTAGGTGAATTTGAGGCCAACCTTTTATTATTTAAAACACTGTCTATAAAAGTTAAGAACCGTAATTAATTTAATGAAACATTCAATATTATTATAATAAGTGTTTCCTAACATTTAACTCGTAGAGCATTTGGGTACATGAATTTAATGTAACCCTGCGTGTCTTTATTATTAAGACAATTTTCTTTAGGGTAAATATATAAACATTTATTTATATTGGAAGTACTTGTTTCTTTATTGTTATGAATTCAGGGATTTTATTAAATAATCAAGCTATTATTGTTATAGGTTATTTAGGGATAAAACTATAATGCACAATGAATTTATTTTAACGTTAGTATTCGTTGTTTACATTCCTTGCAAGCATCAGAAAGAAATCATAACCTATAACAACAAGTTGGTATTGCGTCATTGGTACGAGAGCCTCCATGCAGATACTTTGTACGTTTTGTCGGTTTCATAAAACAGTTTTTTGTGTTTATGGTAAAGAAAAAATGTCATGTAAGGAGCAACTGGAGGGTTTAGGTCTATTCCCAAATTCGAAGGTAAGTGTTTAGACCTCATGTAAATTAATTTGGGAAAGGTACATTTGTGATAGGTGACTCTTTTTTATTATTTAGAAGAAGCCATTACGCTTGAAGTGCTGCTAGTCCTCGACTCGCAAAGTGTTTTCCAACTTATTTCTAAATTAGGAGAGAGATTTGCAGTCATCAAAAAATTACAGAGTTACGAGATAAGCAGGAGCAATTAATGATCTTTTATCAGGTATAATTTTTGTTAACTGTTTTAAAGATGTGGTCAGAGTCGTTCGGCATTGGCCGTATGCGACAGTATTAAATTTCGGCCGATCAAGGTGCACTGACCACAGCCTAAGAGTATTTATTTAGTCCATTTTGTATTTTTATATTCTATAAAATAGGATACAATAAAATTGTTTAAAAATATTATATGCACATTTTATTTCTCATCAATCAAACAAAAAGTATGAAATTCAGGCTATACATTAGTATACATTAGTCAAAAAAATTCTATAGTGGAAATCAAAACGTTGCCAAATCAGCGGATTTTGAGATTTTGTTATTTATGTGGTCTGTACTTTTGTATCAATAAACATTTTTTTGTCTACTTAAAATTATTCAAGTGCTAACATAAATACAATTTTGATAAAACAAAAAAAAATAATACCCAAGTACATGTCTGCAGATCAAAACAAAATCTCGCAATCCGATAATTTGGTACTTAGTTTTGCATTTTCACTTTAGTACATATTACCTAAAAATGCTGTTTGCTAGCAAGCTCCAAGCATTAAATAATAAGACATTGTTTTAACAACAAATACATTTAATGTGTTTCAAAAATAAGCCTATTCTAGATGTTAAGGCAACTCGATGTTTACTTAAAGTAATGATGCAGTTAAAAATAACTCAACTAACTTTCAATATTTCAAATCCACCATGCATTTATATCAAATGCACGTTTCTTAGGCCATATCCGAACCCGTAACTACTTCACCACAAATGCATAGCGTTTATATTTAATGCTAAGTTTTTTCAGTGTACTGATGCGTTGTTGCATAAATTTATGCAAAAAAACGCAACACCTTTTTTGGAAATTGGTTTTCTTCTTCTTGCGCAGAGTGTTTTTTCTTTAATTACGCAACAATGCATCAACAAAACAAAAATTAAATTACAAAGTTTGAATGCCTGTTAAATTGCAATTTGAATAGACAGTAGTGGAAAAATGTAGAGCAACTTTTGAAAAATAATTAAAATATCATTATTTTTATTAATTGAGATTAAACTATATAACTATAGTTTCCTTGTATACACTGTATATACAAATGGATTTAATATATAAAATATCTACTTTTTCTTACTGTTGTTTGTTTATTGGACCGTAATTACATTTTTGTGGTGGAAAAAAGTAGAGCAACTGTTTAGACAATACTTTTATGATTTACTTTACTTAAAATTTATTTTATTTGTGATTTTCTATTAGTACAGATGCCTAGAGGAAAACATTTATTGGTTGAACTAAAAGAACGACTGGTCAGACACAAACTAATATTGCTAGATCGTTTAACTTAAACAAGTCTATAGTTTCGCGTATTGTTAAGCAATTTCGTGTGTTTGGAAATGTTTTGGAAAAAAAGTGTGGTAGACCCAAAAAAACCAATCGATACAAAAATAAAAAGAAATTTAAAGATTGCCAAGCCATTACCAACCGTTTATTGGATCCAATCAAATAAAGGGCCATACTTTGGAGTTGAAGTAACTTCTAGAACTGTTAGAGGTAGATTACTAAAAGCTAAGTTATTGGGTAGAAGACCAGCCAAAAAACTTCTCCTATCAAAAAAAAAACAGACGGGCACATCTTCATTTGGTACAGCACGACTGGAAAAAAGTGATCTGGAGCGACGAGTCCAAGTTCTGCCTTTTTTAATATTGATGGAATTACGTATACGTATGTACGTATGTACTTGTAAGACGTCCAATTAATGAACCCAAAATACACATGTCCTACAGTGAAACATGGAGGAGGGTCAGTAATGGTTTGGGGCTGTTATTCAGGGTATGGTGTTGGTCCACTTTACAAAATAGGTGTCAATTTAAGGGAATTTTGGAGAGCAAAATGGTGCCATACGCAGATGAAATTATGCCTTTAAGGCACATTTTTCAACAGGACAATGACCCAAAGTATACATCTCGGTTCGTCAACGAGTGGTTTCTAAAAGAAAAAGTAAATGTAAATTGCAATCACAATCTCCTGATATTAACCCAATTGAGAACCTCTGGGAAATATTAAATGGGAAAATCAGAGGAAAATTAAATTAAAATAATGGAAAATTGTTCGTGGCCTTAAAAAAACGAGATCTAATATGGATCCAATGATTATCACAAAACTAATTAGGTCAATGCAAAACAATGATTACTTTACAAAATATTAAATTTGTTTTAATATACTAGGTATTTAAAGTAAAAACTATTGTTTATCTTAAAAATCGCTTTACTTTTTTTCACCCTGAAATAATATTATCCTTAGGGCCAGTATATTCCTTCCACTAAATTTACCCAATGGTAACTATGACAGTTATCCATCTAGTAAATTTAAGGGGAGGTGAATATACTGGCCCTTATAAAAATAAATAAAATAAAAATAAATATTTATAAATATTATAATACTATAATAATACTATAAATGTATTTGTAAGCAAGGGAACATTTATGTAATACATATTATGTATACATTAATAATATTTAAATAAATGCAACAAACCAAATCCTGATTATATTCATTTTAAAAAAGTTGCTCCACATATTTTCACTATACTACATGTATTTGTAAATAACTTTAATTTGTTACCAACCAAAAAAGGTTAAAATGTTATTTTTAAAGAAACGTCAAAATGTAAATTATCCAGTCGTCACTGAACCAATTAAATGGTAATTTAATAAAAAATGTTAAAGGCTAGAAAATTTCAGGAGAAGCGGTAAAAACGGAGAAAACCATTTTCCAAAATAATTGTTAAGGTTTTTTAAATATATTTATGCAACAGTACATCGGAGGGCAAAATATCAAACCAGTATTCTAAGAGTTTGCTCGCCCTAGTACGACAAACAGTTCGTAAGTTATTATAGAAAAACTTAAGTTGTGTTCTTCAAGTTTATGGGGCATAGCGTCGAAGGGGTTGTTCGGATTTATTGGAGATAGTATTTAATGTATGCTCTTTGTTTGTTTTGTATTGTATTAAAAGAATAAAACTCGACCCGGTATAATATTGGATTCCCTATACAGGGTGTCCGGACAATTTAGGGGACGTGTATTTTTTAGTTTTGCGAATTGGCTCCCTTTTTCGGAGATACAGCCCCCTAAAAGTCGCCCATAATAATAGTCTTTTTCTTATATCTCAGAAAAATGTTTCAGTAATTGTTGTTTGATAAAACTGTGAATTCTTGTTCTGGGAATTTCAAGTTGTAGTGATGCGCGTCTTATGCTTATTTCGGGGGTTTCTTCAAATAAATTCAAGATATTTTTTTCTTGTTAGGGTGTTAACAAACGACATATTTGGCCTTAAGAATTCTTACAATTACAGAACCCGTCTGCAGGTGCACACGCGAAAACATCGAATTAAATTGTTATAGTTGGGGAAATCGGCCAGCGTAAAGTCTACGCGTGAGAGGTGAATTTCCATTGGCCTCTTCGTAAATCAGGTGCATTTGGACTTTTTCTCGCACGGAAAATTTCACCATTTTTTTCAAGAGAAACAGAAAAGATGATAATATGACAACTGATCAATGGTAACTGTCAAAAAATTAATTTTTTTGTCACTTGCGAACGCCAGCCACCTAACACGTAAGAATTTCATACGAATGTTGA